ATATATATATATATATATATATATATATATATAATAAATGTGTCAGTGTTAATCTCAAGATAACCTAACAGTCCAAGATTAAAGGATATATGTCAAGGACACCTCAAAAAAAAATCACAAGTCCTCTCTAATCTAACTAGCTGATGGCCAACTTAGCCGATGAAAGGGTTGTCGACCATCGAAGGGTTGTCAGAGGGCCGAATGATCAAAAGCCATCCAACTGACTGAAGGGTTGCCAAGAGACAGAATCTGATATGCAAAAGGACCAGAATACTCTATATGATCTTTTAAAATAGGGGTAAAATATGTAAATTTATATTTTGCCCCTCTATCTCCTATGAATAGGGGGACTAAATCATGTATTGGGGGCTTTGGGCTCTTCTTTCTAGGTCCTTTTCTTGGAGGGAGTCTCTATCCCCTTTTTGTTGTACCTTCTATAATTGATATATAAAAAAAGAGCTCAAGAATACCCTATTTTGCCTCAGAGGAGTAAGTCGTTGGGCATTTCTTTTCTTTCCCCCTCACTATCTACCTCTCTTTATCTCCTCTCTTGTTCCTACTACTCTATTCGTTGGGCATGTCTCATAAGAAAAATCAGGATTCAACGTCTTAAAAAGTGTGATGAGCATGAAGCATGCTACCAACAAGTAGTGGAGTGACACCAATGAAGAGAGATCCACCACAAATACACTCATAATAAGAAGCACGCCAAGGAAATTGTGTAGCAACAATTCCAGGAGCTAAAAATTTTTATTTTCCTCATTTTTTGAGAGACATTAGCTTGGAGGAGAAAACACACTCACAATAGACGAATGGCTGGAGAACTCCTCTAAGGAAGGCAGTCTGATGACACCCCGACAACGCAGAATCACCTCCGGGTGGTTGACACCCAGCCTAATGAAGAAAATGTGTTTTCATTTAAAAAAAAAGAAGAGAAATCTAAACAAACCTTAAGACAAAAATACATACTCATAATTCTCTCCATCTCGGATCAATTAGTCGAGAGTCCTTCTGCATTCAGTGATAGGAGATCATCAACAACTCCTTTCTCTCCAATCAACTTATAACCTCTGTTAATTCCTAGTGCTCTAGTGAGTTGAGGAGCACTTGTAGTTTCTGGTCGGCTTAAGACCTTAATAGAAGCTTTAATTAACGGACAAGCTACCAAACCTTCCAAATCCTTTCTAGTATTGTGCTAGCTCTTCTCTGGAGCCTACCAGATATGATGATTCCTCCTACTCAATTCTCTCAAACTTTTTAGGATTCTTGGTAAGTTTCTTCTTCCACTTTTTCCTTTGCTCACCCTAAGGGTAGCAATGCTTCTTCACCCTGAGAGCAACTAGCATCTTCTCTTAGTCTTTGGGTTTGGATGAAGGATTTGATTTCTTTTCCTAAATGGAATCTTTTGATGTTGAGTGAATGCAAAGAGAGACAAACGTAGAATGATGAGAACAATCTACTACATTCCTTTTATAAGTAGTTCATGGACATGAAAACTCAAGGAGTCTAATCAATACTTTAATTATGATTATTACAACTCATTTTTGCTTTAAAATTTCTCATATTCTTATCATAGCTTTCACTATTAAGAAGGAAAAAAATTAGGAAATGAAATATAATAAAAAAATGTGTCAGCATGAATCTCGAGATAATCAAATTGTCCAAGATCCAAGGAGATGTAATAAGGATCCCTCTGATGAAAAACCACAAGCCCTCACAAATTTAATAGATTGATGGTCAGTCAATTCAACAGAAGGGTTGTCAGACAACTAAATGCTAGTTAGATGACCGACATCCAGTAAGATAGATCGAAAGCCATCTAGCCATCCTAAGGGTTATTGAGCCACAGGCTATGTGAAAAGACCAAAATACCCTATAAACACCTCTAAAATGTGGGTAAAACATATAATTTTATATTTAATCCCTCTATCTTCTATAAATAGTGTGACTAGATCCTGTATTGGGGGCTTTAGGATCTTCTCTTTAGACATTTCTCATATAGGGAGTCTCTCTTCGCCTCTCCTTATAACATATATATATATATATATATA